ACTCCCCCCCTGCTCTCAAAAGAAGCAGAAATTCTTTCTTACCTATCAGCGAGACCCACATGGAAAAGGCGGTTCCAAAGATGCTGAAGTTTTGCAGAAGTTCGTACTTCATGAAACAAAGGAAGATGAGCCCGGGGCCCTCGCAGGCGTGGCAGACCTGATGGGAAACAGTGGCTTGTTTATTTCCAGGGTTTCTGTGATAAAAATTGTAATTTTAAAAAGTTGCACCAGGATCCTCTTGTTTGAAAGCCTCCCCTTTTACTTTGCCAGGCTGTTCCAGAGAGTTGGTGCCATCTGGGGACAAAAGCTTTATAGCCAGTGAGGACAGAGAGGTTTTAAGATTCTTTGCAATGACCTGAAACAAAAATGTAAACCCATGCAGAACTTGGCTGCCCTCTGGCTCCTTGCCTAGCCTGACTTTTTTTTTATAAAAAAAAATCCTTTAATTAGGCCCGTCTGCACCACAGGCCTTCTTCAAATAGCCTGATGTTTTGATTGGATTCCACTCAAATAAACAAAAAGACCCATCAGAGTAAGAAGTGTGTAGCTATAGATGCTAAAAAAAATTATTCAGTGCTATGCAGGAACCATATGTTAACAGTTTTCCGTTACATTTCTGTCAGATGCAGAGACTATTGTCTTGGAAGAGAACTCTAACCAAAGAAGAGGGGAGAGAGAGAGAAGGAGGGAGAAGAGAGACAATGAAGGAGGGAGTGATAAGGAGGGAGCGAGAGAAGGAGGGGAAAAGAGAGAGAGAGAGATGAGGGAGAGAGATAAAGAGGGAGACGGAGAGAAGGAGGGAGGGGAGAGAGGAGGAGGGAGGGAGGGAGAGGGAGAAGGAGGGGAGAGAGAAGGCAGGAGAGAGAAAAGGAGGGAGAGAAGGAGGGAAAAGAGAGATAATGAAGGAGAGAGTGATAAGGGGGATATAGAAGGAGGAAGGGAGAGAAGGACAGAGAGAGATAAGGAGGTAGAGAGATGAGGGAGAGGGAGAAAAGGACAGAGAGAGATGAGGAGAGAGAGAATAAAAGAGAGAAAGAGAGAAGGACAGAGAGAGATAAGGGAGAGAAATAAGGAGGACAGAGAATAAAAGAGAGAAGGAGAGAGAGCTAAAGAAGGAGAGAGAGAGAAGGAGAGAGGGTGGGGTGAGAGATATGGATGCAATGGTTTCCACAAAAACTTGAAACTTCGCCTAGGAATGTCCTGCAACCTGGGGTTGCTTCTACTGGCATCAAAACCTTCTCTGAAAACTATTCTTGGTATTTTGCATTTCCTTTCTTGTGTAATAAATGACCCCCCCCCCCTGTTAAACAACTAGATTTTCTCAGGGCCCAAAAGGCCAAGGTCCCCGGTGGAACGGGGACAGTTCAAAATATCTCATTGTCTCCCGAATTTAACCATCTGAGAGAGCGAAAAGAAGAAGCGTCCGAGGTGCATTGCAATGGGGCCTTAACCAAACATGCTATGAGAAGAAGATGCCAAAGAAGAAAAGCAGGCAGACGTTGTGAACACAAAGCCCCCCACCTTTTTTTTTTACCAAGGAGAATTCTTGGCTAAAGGGCTGGAAGCAGGACTTACCAAGAGAAAGAACATGGTGAAGAAGTAGACCATGGCCTCCATGTGAAACTGCCTCTTGGCTGCGATGCTGACGGTGGGGAGGAAAGCCAGGCTGCTGACGGTGGGCAGGAGGAACTTGGCAGCTAAAGAGCCCATTGGGAGGAGAGCAGCTCCTTCCCCCTGAGGACTGCCCGGGAGACTGGGGAGCCAAGGGCAGACCCTGGGTGTGTGGGAGAGAGGGCAGCTGGGACCGAGGACAGAGGCCTCCCTGTCCCTTCTGTTCTTCGATGGAGAACAGCTGCAGGGAGCCCACCAGCTGCTCCTGTTCTTGGGTTCCACTTGAACAAATGGTCCCTTCCATCTCCCAGGAGGAGCCAGCTGTCTTTGGAGCAACTCCTGAGAAAGGCAAATGGGGAGGAGGAGGAGGAGGAGGAGGACATCACTCTTGGTCGTTGACTGAACACTGGGGCAGATGTGGGGGGAGGAGGGATCCAGGATCTGGCCCAGGGCAGAAGGGGATTTGATCTGGGGAGGGTCCTTCTCCAAGGAGGCTTTGGGAGGGGTTGCTGAGGATGGACTCCCAGGCACATTGTTCCCAGATGCCTGGCCCTAAAGTACCAGATGCTCTCCCACCTTGTCAAAGCTGCTTCCTGGCCCCTTCAGGGGCCTGCTGCTGCAAAGTACCAGACTCCACCCTATATAAAGAAATGTAAATGCAAGTAAAACACAATTAAGACACGTGACAATGTAATGGTGTAAATCCCAAAGCTTTATTCTTTCTTGTTTATCAGATATGTTGCCACTCAACTCCCAAACTAAAACAAAAGCCTCAAAATAAAGATTAGAATATGGTCAGAATAACACAGGTGGAAGGCACCTTGGAGGTTTTGTTTTTCTCCCCCCCCCCCCCCCCCCCCGTTAAGCAGGAGGCCCTATGCTACTAAATAATTAACCATTAATTCATTGTATACCTATTCAAAAACATCATAAATGACTTAGATGAGGGAATAGAAGGGGAACATACCAATTTTGTGGATGATTCTAAGCTGGCAGGAATGGCCAACACCCTAGAAGATAGGCTCAAGATCCTGCCAGCTGATTTTCGGCCTTCTGGTGGGCCGGGGGGGCTGTTTTCGCCCTCCCCAGGCTTCAGGAAAGCCTTGGGTGAAAACTCCCCCCCCACCAGGTGCAGGGGGTCACACACACACATGCACAAGTGGGTGGGGTGCATTGAATTGTGGTTGTGGGCACATACCTATGCGATAGTGTGTGCACACACAATTTTGGCACGCCTTTGGAAAAAGGGTCTTCTGATTGGGCAGGGGGTTGGACTAGATGACCTTCCAACTCTATTAATTGGTTAATCTTTGTTGCTCTTCTCTATATGCTTTCTAGAGCCTCTACTTCTTTTTTGTATTGTGGCAGTGATGTGCGATGAACTTTATGGCTGATGAGGCAAAGCCCTGGCGCGGCTTTCCAAAAGCCCCACTGAAGCCCTGCTGCTGTGTCCGCCATACAGGTGGGAAGCGTCTCGCTCTATAGCGGACACAGTGCTGGGGCTTCGGCAGGGCTTTCCGAAAGGGCAGCACTCCGAACGCGGCATAAGCCGTGGACAGGGCAGAGGGGAAAGCGGCGGCAGCAGAGGAAGCGGCAGCGGCGGCTGATGAAGTTCCCGCAATGCAAAGTGCCCGGGCCTTCCCCACCGGCCAGAGGGCCCCCTCCTCCTCCTCCAGGGGGCCACTGGGACCTTCTCCGGCCCAGGCCTGGAGGGCCCCGCTGCCACCAGGAAGCCGCCCGCCTGGGAAGCCTCTTCGGCCAGCCGGGGGAAATGCCATGGGCTTCCGGGGAGGGGGGAGCAGGGCGCTGACCTGCATGCTGGCGTCCAGGGCAGTGAAGAGCAGCCTGCAGGCGGGGCAGCTGAGGTTCGTCCAGCCGAAGCGCGCTCCGGCCGCGGGCAGCAGGCTCTCCAGGGCCGGCCGGCTCTCCTGGGGCACCGCCAGCCCCGCCGCCGCCACCGCCACCGCCACCGCCAGCGCCCCGGCCAGCACCAGCCGCACCGCCATCGCCCGGCCCGATCCTCCGGCAGCTCAGCTCGCAAGAAGGGAGGCGCTCCGCCCGGGCTCCCCTCGCCTCTCCGGCTGACTGCCGCC